ATAAAGCCTTTTTTAAACTTTTACAACCAGAAGCTGCTCTTCATATTAGTGACAAACAATAACAGTAACAGCTTTTTGACAAGTTTAAAATGTCTTTAAAACACATTCAAAATGTTTAAAAATAAACTACAAAAATTAATTTAAAGTGCAAATTAAAACATAGTTGTATCTGCAACTTATTTGATAATGTTTTGAACTGTTAAAATATTGCATGGTAAGAACAGAGGCTGCACTTTATATTTGTGACAAACTTTGGTGTTTTTTGATGAGTTACCTTCAGTTTTGCTTCTACTTTTCATTTAAAATAGATTTCCACTCTCGGCAGGTTTCTAAGGTTCTTCTTCTACATATTAAATAGTTGTTAAACACCTGAGTGGTGCACTACTGCTTCTAGTGGTGAGAAAGTGTATTGCACCTTATTCAAAATCCGTGCGGTCCCACGGCCCTCTGCGGCCCCAAGTTAAAAACTGTTGTTCTTTTGAGGCCCTCAAGGTGGCGCTCACGGCCCACGGGTTAAGAATCTCTGTTCTACTGTGTCCCTTCTACACTAAATGTTTTATGCTTTATGTGCCTGCCTCATTTTCTTATTCTTTGAGAGAAAATGTGACATTTTGCTGTTTAATAGGTAAAATTTCAGGATGTTCTTGTTTTCCTCAGGTGGTTTGACCTCGGCTGTTTAATCTTGGAGGACCCTTGTCACAACATCCGCACTGAGGTCTTCACTCAGGCTACTCCTCTGGCGTTAGAATACATACAGCAGGTAAATATAAAAACCACACAGGGCACATTAGTTGTACTTGTACAGCAGTATTCTGTATTTTTGTTGAGGCAGAGCTCAGTGACGTCTGTTTGAACCTGTGCAGGCACAGTCCCTGACTCCTCCTGACTACGGCCTGCGCTGGTCTGGTCTGGTCGTCACAGTGGGCGAGGTGCTGGAGCGCTGTCTGCCCAACATCAACAGAGCGGACTGGCACCAGTCGTTGACGGGAACCAGCCAGCGCCAGATGATCCGGAGCGCCGCCAAAGTTCTAGCTGGAATCTACAAACAGCAGCTGCCCCCCAGGACTCTGTGACACTGAGTGTTTCCTCTTTCTGCCACACGCTGGGAGGAAGTGGGGATGTGTTAAAGGATCAATTATACCGGGGGACAGCTGGGATCCATGTAGCTCCTCATCTACCCTCTGTTGATTCAGGAAAAAATAAAAAAGCAGTTTCTTTTAAAGATCTTTTTGTTTGTGCCCGTAAACATTTACTGACAGTTTGTTTTACAGAACGCTGTCACATCTCCAACCAATCTTCTGTTTTATTTTTTTTTAAATCTCCTAATCACTCCTAATCATGTAGTCATCATGTAGTGTGATTTTATCACTCATGTCTGTTGATAATTGTTTCTGAACTCTTTATATTCCAGTTGTACTAAATATTTAAATATTGAGGTTTGTAGAAACCCAACATGGTTCTGGTGTAACTGGACTGAATGTGATGCGGATCTTGTTTGGGTTTGTTTACAGTCGGAGCGCCTGTGTCTTTCTGGATCACACAAAACCTTAGACTGCACTTTGTACAAGTGCTGACCATTGTTACACAACTAATTTACTGTTTAACAAGATATCTGTATCCTGACATCACTGCCAAATACAAACCTTCAAATTCATTGTTTTAGAGCTTCTAGTTGACCTGCTGTCCACTTTTCATTTCTAGTGGTAAAACATTGTATTTCAGGATTCTGTCGTCATGGATAAACTTTCAAAGTAGTGAAAATCGGACATGTTTTTATGCTTTACAACATGGTTCAAATGACTGTTTATGCTAAATATTTGTAATTATGTGATTATTAATCTAAAACCTTTTTAAAGGTGCAGTGTGCACATAAATCTGGATCATCTTTAAGGGCATTAAGATCAGAGAAAACTGTTGCACCTTTAGACTTTGATGCTTATAAGTGTCTAAAAGTTTTCCCCTTAATATTTCCTTTCTATCAAAACTTTTTTTATAAACTACTTTAAAACTCCAGAGTATCTTTAATCTTTACTTTGCAAGTATTTGTCTGCTGTAACTGAATTGAATATATAAACCTGATCACAGACGGTTACAGGATTAGGATTTCATTGAGAAGTTTTCTGTTTGAAGGTATTTAATGTTATCAAGTTAGTCAGGCTGAGATCTACACATATTGGCATTTAGGTGAAAATCACTTTTTATAAGTAAAAATACATAAATGTGGTTTTAGTAATTGATCAAAGCTAATCTGCTCCACAGTGATGTTACCCACTGCTAAGTGAGCGCAGCAAACAAAAATGGCTTCTACTTGAACACTTTTACAAGGACTGGGCTAAAACTTGGTGCGGTAGTAGCTGAGAGTCATCCCAACACACTAAAAAACAAACTGAGCCGCATCTTTGCCCAAAACTTATTGATCGTTTGAATCAATCTGTTTGTAAGCAACGTTTAGAAAAGCTGGTAAAAAAAAAAGTACAAATAAGGATGACATTTTACAACTGCACTATACAGTATATATAGAATATATAT